ACGTTGAAGGTGTTCAAGGACATGATGCAGCAGCTGCGCTCTCTCCCCTCACCCGCCCTCTGTCCTACCCTACCCTCCCCTCCCCTCCCTCCTAACCCCCCCCCCCTCCCCCCAGCCGTCATTGAAGGTGTTCAAGGACATGATGCAGCAGCTGCGCTCTCTCCCCTCACCCGCCCTCTGTCCTACCCTACCCTCCCCTCCCCTCCCTCCTAACCCCCCCCCCCTCCCCCCAGCCGTCATTGAAGGTGTTCAGGACATGATGCAGCAGCTGCGCTCTCTCCCCTCACCCGCCCTTCTGTCCTACCCTACCCTCCCTCCCCTCCCTCCTAACCCCCCCCCCCTCCCCCCAGCCGTCATTGAAGGTGTTCCCCCTTCTGTCCTACCCTACCCTCCCTCCCCTCCCTCCTAACCCCCCCCCCCTCCCCCCAGCCGTCATTGAAGGTGTTCAAGGACATGATGCAGCAGCTGCGCTCTCTCCCCTCCCCGCCCTTCTGTCCTACCCTACCCCCCCTCCCCCCCTCCTAACCCCCCCCCCCTCCCCCCAGCCGTCATTGAAGGTGTTCAAGGACATGATGCAGCAGCTGCGCTCTCTCCCCTCACCCGCCCTTCTGTCCTACCCTACCCTCCCCTCCCCTCCCTCCTAACCCCCCCCCCCCCCCCCAGCCGTCATTGAAGGTGTTCAAGGGCCGTCATTGCCCCTCCCTCCTAACCCCCCCCCCCTCCCCCCAGCCGTCATTGAAGGTGTTCAAGGACATGATGCAGCAGCTGCGCTCTCTCCCCTCACCCGCCCTTCTGTCCTACCCTACCCTCCCCTCCCCCCCTCCCTCCTAACCCCCCCCCCCCTCCCCCCAGCCGTCATTGAAGGTGTTCAAGGACATGATGCAGCAGCTGCGCCTCTCCCCCTCACCCGCCCTCTGTCCTACCCTACCCTCCCCTCCCCCTCCCCCTAACCCCCCCCCCCTCCCCCCAGCCGTCTTGAAGGTGTCAAGGACATGATGCAGCAGCTGCGCTCTCTCCCCTCACCCGCCCCTTCTGTCCTACCCTACCCTCCCCTCCCCTCCCTCCTAACCCCCCCCCCCCTCCCCCCAGCCGTCATTGAAGGTGTTCAAGGACATGATGCAGCAGCTGCGCTCTCTCCCCTCCCCCGCCCTTCTGTCCTAACCCTACCCTCCCCTCCCCTCCCTCCTAACCCCCCCCCCCCCTCCCCCCAGCCGTCATTGAAGGTGTTCAAGGACATGATGCAGCAGCTGCGCTCTCTCCCCTCACCCGCCCTTCTGTCCTACCCTACCCCTCCCCTCCCCTCCCTCCTAACCCCCCCCCCCTCCCCCCAGCCGTCATTGAAGGTGTTCAAGGACATGATGCAGCAGCTGCGCTCTCTCCCCTCCCCGCCCTTCTGTCCTACCCTACCCTCCCCTCCCCTCCCTCCTAACCCCCCCCCCTCCCCCCAGCCGTCATTGAAGGTGTTCAAGGACATGATGCAGCAGCTGCGCTCTCTCCCCTCACCCGCCCTTCTGTCCTACCCTACCCTCCCCTCCCCTCCCTCCTAACCCCCCCCCCCCCTCCCCCCAGCCGTCATTGAAGGTGTTCAAGGACATGATGCAGCAGCTGCGCTCTCTCCCCTCACCCGCCCTTCTGTCCTACCCTACCCTCCCCTCCCCTCCCTCCTAACCCCCCCCCCTCCCCCCAGCCGTCATTGAAGGTGTTCAAGGACATGATGCAGCAGCTGCGCTCTCTCCCCTCACCCGCCCTTCTGTCCTACCCTACCCTCCCCTCCCCTCCCTCCTAACCCCCCCCCCCTCCCCCCCAGCCGTCATTGAAGGTGTTCAAGGACATGATGCAGCAGCTGCGCTCTCTCCCCTCACCCGCCCTTCTGTCCTACCCTACCCTCCCCTCCCCTCCCTCCTAACCCCCCCCCCCCTCCCCCCAGCCGTCATTGAAGGTGTTCAAGGACATGATGCAGCAGCTGCGCTCTCTCCCCTCCTTCGACGCAGCAGACCAGGGCTTCCTTAACCGCTACTTCCCCACCCTGCTCGCCTCAGAGTTCCTTCCCCTGCCTGCTGGTCCCTTCCCCCCTCCCCACCCCCCCTTCTCCTTAACCAGCCATCAGTGAAAGGACATGATGCAGCAGCTGCGCTCGCTCCCGTCACACGATGCGGCAGACCAGGGCTTCCTCAACCGCTACTTCCCCCACTGCTCGCCTCGCCCCTCGTTGTGCCTTCCCCCTTCCAACTCACTGCTTGCTTTGCCCTGCCTGTTTCAGTCTGCCAACCTCCCTGGTCTCTTTCTCCCCTTCCCCCCCCTCCACCCCTCCTTCCCCCCCCCCCCCAGCCGTCAGTGAAGGTGTTCAAGGACATGATGCAGCAGCTGCGTTCCCTCCCGTCACACGATGCAGCAGACCAGGGCTTCCTCAACCGCTACTTCCCCACGCTGCTCGCCTCGCCCCTCTTCGTGCCTCCTGAGGACGGCTCGGCCCTCAAAGGCAGTTCAGGCTGCCCATGGGGTACCAGATGGACGCCATCTTCTACAGTGAGTGTCACCAGTCCCACTCGTTACTAGCACATTCTGTTGTAGGTAAAAGGGGCCAGGGAGGGAAAGGGTCGTTCCCTGCTCTTCGCTGCTCGCCTCGCCCCTCTTTGTGCCTCCTGATGACGGCTCAGCACTCAAAGGACAGTTCAGACTGCCCATGGGGTACCAAATGGACGCCTTTTGAGGCGCCTCAAAAGCTGCCCATGGGGTACCAGATGGACGCGATCTTCTACCAGATGAGTGCTATTGGGTTTGGGGCAAGGAAAGATGCTACTTCCCCACCTTTCTTGCCTTCCCTCTCGTAGTGCCTCCCACTGACGGCTTGGCGCTCAAAGGGCCGTCAGGCTGCCCATGGGATACCAGATGGACGCCATCTATTACAGTGAGTGTAACTCATCACAAGAGCACATCCTGTTAGAGTCACATGGGGCAAGGGAAGAGGGTTCTTCCCTGGCTCGACCTTCAAAGGGCAGTTCAGGCTGCCCATGGGATAACAGATGGCATTATCTTCCTCCCCAAACCCCCCACCCTCTCCCGCCGCTTTCCCCTCTTCCCTCTTCCCGCCACTTAAAGCCCTGGTTCTGGTGGTCCTACCCACTCCTCGCCCTCTCCCTGCACTGGCACTCCTGGCGCCTCTCTATCATCGCCTACTCCTCCCACCTCTCTCCTTAACCCCTCTCTCCCCTCTCCCCTCTCCCCTCTCCCCTCTCCCCTTCCCCCCACTCCCCTTCACCCCAGATTTGAAGTTCAAGTGGGAGGTCCCTTGTTCTGACAACAAGGTCATCACCTTCCCCGGAATCGCCCACTTAAAGCCCTGGTTCTGGTGGTCCTACCCGCTGCTCGCCCTCTCCCTCCACTGGCACTCCTGGCGCCTCTCCACCATTGGCTACTCCTCCCACCTCCCCGCCTGCCTCTCGGCCGGCATCTTTTGGCTCGTAGTGCTCACGCTCAGCCACGTCATCGCCCGGGCGGCAGCCGATCCATCTTCAATTCTCTACCGCCTCACGCGGTGGTGTCAGGGGTCCAGACATGCCGGCGGACCCCCTGTGGTCTCAGGCATAGGTGGGAGCGCAGCGGGAGGGGGAGGAGCGGGAGGAGGAGGAGGAGGGGTAGGGTCCCCATCTCCTTATTCCCGCCTAGGGGCGCTTGGAACAGGGTTAGGAACACCAGGAGGGGGGGCGAATGGGAGTGTAGGTGGAGGGGTGGCAGGAACTGCAGGAGCAGCAGCTGCTGCTTCTGGGGGAGCTTCAGGTCTCCTCTCCTACCTCTCCCCCCGCTTGCTGCTCACACTCTCCCTCACGGTTCTCTCCGCATTTGTCTCCTTCTGGCTCGTGCCGACCACAGTACACCCGTTTCTCGGCTGGCTGCTCTTCACGTTCGGTACCTTTTCCGGACTGTCGCTAGTTAAAGCCCTGATTGGCGCCACGACTGCGATTTTCTGGCTGCTACAGTACCTGGTGGTGGCTCTTATCGTCTTGGGATTGCCGATTTACTCTGCTTTGGCGTTTAAGTTGTGTGTGATGCACCTGCTTGCGTTTGGAGCGGGAGCGGTGCTGCTGGTGCAGGTTCAGGCGCTGCAGTTCGGGTTTCTCACTGGTGCTGGTTTGGCACCAAGGCCTACCAGCTCATCAGGAGGCCGCTCCCTGTTGGATTAGAATAGCGGTAGAAGTGTTTCATTACACTTGCGCGAGGAAATTAGGTGCACTAATGCGCGTATGATGTCCTACCTTGATGAAACAATGTCAAGCTTGAGGTTGGTGGTTCTGTTGCCATTATTATGTCATGAATCGTGACCCTTTTGGAGACGATGAGTATGAATCAGCCGACATATGCTGACCAAAGAAAAAATCTCTTACAACAAAACGGGTAAAACGTTTCTTGTCGCGTACGAGGAGACCCTCCCTGACACACCGAAATTCTGGCGGGAAATTGAAACGACCGTTTGAAATTGCTTCCATCAGTTGGCGTCAGTCCACACATCTGAAGGTTTAGGAGAAAATAGTGTAGGCCGAAGAGAATACAGCCGCTGTATCTAGATTATATATTGGTCTATTCCCAAGGTTAACTGAGCAGAAGTTTTAGTCGCTCGTTGACATTACAGTGGACTTGAGAGAAGGTCTGAGACGTCTTAGAGCCACTTTTCATCGGATAATACACGATCCCCCTTTCCTCGTTGCTTCCGTTTCGAAGCAGGGCAGTAGAAAGGCTATTGTCGTTTCAAGTAAAGAGAAGCTTCCACGAGGATTCTGAGAGCATCTAGTCATAGATTAAGCTGTTTGTTTCGGAAGGCGATTGTTAGGAAAGGCCCCAGATGAAGCAGCTTGGAAGCGTCGTGCCCTTACCGAAGAGCCTACTAGGGAGTTCCTTGTTCCCAGGTCACCTAAGAAAAGCGTCTTGGATCAGTACCTTCAGAAATGATTCTCAAACCACGCTGATTGGTGGAAACAAAAACCGCGTTTCCGCTCACCTGCGCGATGGCAGCGATCGCGCCGCCGAGTGCGGGGGACCGGCGGAAGGCGGAAGCCGGTTGGCGCAAGGACAGGTCACATTGGCGGAAGGGCGACTGGCGGAAGGGCGACCGGGGGAAGAGTCATGGGCGCAAGGGGGACGCTTTGACGGTGGAGTTCGGGGAAGGGCGGAGTGTTGTGCTGGAGGGGGGAAGGCGATTGGCGGAAGTGGGGACGTGGGGAATCGGCGGGCCTGCGGAGTGGCTGGCGGAGGTGACGACAGTAGATGAGATGGCGGCAGTGCTTAGGTAAGTGCTGGTATTACTCTTGAGAATTGTCAACGCGGAGTGGCTTGCGGAGGTGACGACAGTTGACGAGATGGCTGCGGTGCTTAGGTAAGTGCTGCTGGGAGGGCACTGGAGTTCAGTCAGGGTGGCTGTTTTTATCTAAGCAACACGCAAGGGTTCCAACTGATTCTTTGACAGTCCAGATTTTCCCCATAGTTTTCGTCTCCCGTCCTCTGGATTCTCCTCCTAGGCTTTTGAGGCGCCTCAAAAGATTTTCCCTTTCAAGGCGCCTCAAAATATGTTTCCCATAGTTTCCGTCTCCCGTCCTCTGGATTCCCCTCCGTGGCTCTCCACGGTCATCTCATTCTAATCGCAGTCTTTGATAGGGGTCCCCAACGCTTCTTTGATGGTCAGGATTTTCGAGTCACCTAAGAATTGGGTCCAGTAGTGATAGGCAAGGGCTCCAACCGCCTGTTTGAGGACCTGGTTTCCCTTTCCTTTCCAACCCACCAAACGCAGGTTCTGCGACGGCAACAGCATTCGCACGGTGGTGATAGGCAAGGGCTCCAACCGCCTGTTTGAGGATTGCGGGTTCAAGGGATGTGATCGTCAACAGAATCGCGTACAAGTGGGTGCATCCCTTTCCTTCCCTTGTCCCCCTCTCAGGTTCTGCCACACCAATTCCATCCGCGTGGTGGTGATAGGCAAGGGCTCCAACTGCCTGTTTGAGGACCGCGGATACAAGGGGTGTGTGATCGTCAACAGAATCGCGTACAAGCGCGTGGAGCTTAGATGTGCTGCTGCTGCGCATGTTGACATAGCCAGCAGCGCCAGCCACAGAGACAGCAGCACAAGCAACAGCAACAGGAACGACAGCAAAGACAGCAACGGCAGCAGCAGCAGCAGCAGCAGCAGCAGCAGCAATTCTGCAGGCGCCATTATCAACAATCAGAGGGCTCAAATCGATGCTCTGGTGCAGGTGGGGGGAGGGTACCCGTTCAACCTGCTGGGCGTGGAGTGCTCTCGGGAAGGCCTCTCAGGGCTGGAGTTTGCAGGCGGCATTCCCGGCACCGTGGGGGGCGCTGTGTTCATGAACGCAGGGGCGGACGGGCAGGTGAGGGAGCATAAGGGGTGAGGGGGGTACAGGGGAGTGGGGGGATGCGGCATTCCGCGCACCGTTGGGGGCGCTGTGTTCATGAACGCTGGGGCGGACGGGCAGAAAACTGCTGACGGTTTCCTCTCGTCCTTGTTTATGTGACCTGGGTCATAAGTTCCCTCCTTTCACCTCCTATCACTCCCTCAGGAAACAGCCGATTGTTTTCTCTCAGTGGACGTTCTCTCTCCAACCGGCAATCTCCTCTCCTTCTCCCGCTCCGACCTCACCTTCGCCTACCGCCGCTCGCCCTTCCACCACATGTCCTTCCTCCCCTTCTTCCCGCCTCCCGCCCATGCGTCCCCCAGGAAACAGCGGACTGTCTGCTCTCAGTGGATGTCCTCTCTCCCACCGGCACTCTCCTCTCCTTCTCTCGCTCCGATCTCACCTTCGCGTATCGCCACTCGCCCTTCCAGCACATGCGGGACTGTGCTGCCATAGTGGGAGCAACTTTCGGGCTGAGGAAGACCAGTGAGGCACGGGACAGGCAACGGAAGTACATGGACAGGTGAGGGGAGGCAAGCCATTGACTCCGTTGACTCAGCTGACTCGACTCGTTGACTCGATTGACTCCGTTGACTCAGTTGACTCAGTTGACTCGACTCTGTTGACTCAGGTTGACTCTGTTGACTCGGTTGACTGCATTGACTCAGTTGACTCGGTTGACTCCGTTGAGTCGGTTGACTCAGGTGAATTCGTTGATTCAGTTGACTCCGTTGACTCGGTTGACTCGTTGACTCGGTTGACTCGTTGACTCGGTTGACTCGGTTGACTCGGTTGACTCTGTTGACTCGTTGACTCGTTGACTCGGTTGACTCAGGCACTCGTTGCCTACCACCACTCGCCCTTCCAACTCATGGACAGGTGAGGAGCAGCAACTGACTCAAGTGAGCTACTTGCTCAATGTTTGCTGACATTTAGTATATTTAAAAACCCTCCCAGTGCTCAGGGCATGCGTGCATACATTACTATCCTATCAATTTATCTCAAGGCATATCTAATCTTGTTGGTGGCTGGAATGTTTCATTCCATCGTCACATGGTGACATTGGCAGGCAGATGGTGCAAATGAAGTTCAAAGAACTGTTGAGCATGGTTGAGCACGGTTGAGCATGGTTGAGCATGGTTGAGCATGTTCGTCACTTGCATGCATGCCTTGCTTCTGCACTGTGCTGTGTGATCCAGGCTGGTGAAATATGCTTCTACCACCATCACACTGCTCGACATAGATGCCAACTGTCCTGCTCCCCATCCTCTGCCCTCTTCCCAAACCTCTGCCCTCTGCTCACCTACTCCTCCCAACTAGCACCCTTCCTTACCTCCCTACCCTGCCCCATCCCTCCATATCATATTCCCACCTTATCGTCTCATTCTTTGCCAGGCGTCGGCAGTCTCAGCCTATTGCAGATCGATCCGTTGGGTGCATATTCCGCAACCCTGCACCCCCATTCGATTCTGCTCCCCCCTCTACCTCGGGATCCTCCTCGCCCCCAGCCGGTTTACCAGCAGCTGGTGCTTCAGCGGTTCCTCTCCCTGCCTCAGCAGGTGCCCTGATAGACCGGGCTGGGTTGAAGGATCTGTGTGTTGGAGATGCTTTTGTGTCACCAATGCATGCTAATTTTCTGGTGAATGGTGGGGCGTGCAGTAGTGAGGATATGGAAGGGCTGATTGTGGAGGTGAAGAAAAGGGTGAAGGAGGAATTTGGGGTGGAACTCGTAGAAGAGGTTAGGCGGATTCCATATGAATGAAAAAATACTGTAGTTCAACATGCTACATAATATTAGGAGAAAGTGATAATGTGCGTCCCCACAGAGGGTATAAGCTACCTAGCTGGATGGAGAAAACTATACAGTCGCCGCTATAGAAGATTGATAAGTGGTCCCGTATGGAGGACATTTGCCAGAAAATAGGTGTCGGTTTGATATTCGTTCACAGGCACACGGCATCGGGATTCCGGATTCGGTCAATTCGAAGTGCAATATATTTCACTTTCGAGAGCCGGTAGCGGTCGGTAGCGCCCGGTAGCGCTACCGACCGAGTCAGCACGCTGCCCGCGGGCAAAAAAAATAAACCCATGGCTTACGGCATGCCATTCGGGAGCTTCAACCCTAAGATTTTAGGGTTGAGGCTCCCTCGGATGGCATGCCCCCGACTGGGGTTTATTTTTTTTCTTGCCCGCGCTGACTCGATTGCACTGCCTGCTGACGCAGGCAGTGCAATATATATTCCAATCTCATTTTCCCACTTCGGGTTTGTGAATGCAGTCCCTTGCTTCTATTGGACGAAAGATGTCGGCCTGTCGGGAAACACCATGCGGCTGCCCGCGTTCAGGGTCGAGGCTCCCCTAATCGCGTGCCATCCCGATGGGGTTTAGTTTTTTCTGACCGCGGGGAGATAACAGCCCGTTAGCTTCTTCCACTGCAGACCGTCAATGGATTGCATTCGCGAACCGCGTTGGCTAAATTAGAATGCAGCTGAAGTTGTCCCTTCGGGATTGCTTCCATGAGACGCCGTTGACGTGGCACGAGCTCTCGGGTGTCGCGTCATCACCCACGTGGATGATGCGCACACACGAGCCCCTCGTACCAGGACACGTTGACAGGTTTGGGGAAATCCCCGAAGAGCTCAAGATTATTGTACCAGTCAAACTGATGTTTCACGCGCTTTGTGGAAAAAGATCTATGCCAGTTCTCGAAACTCTCAGGGAGTGTTCCAGAACCGTCAAGTAGCTGAAACAAGCACTCTAAAACACACGAACTAGCACGACATCTGTACAGCATCAAGTACCAGAAACCACCATAAGCCTAACTGTTTTTGAAACTGGAGCGACATATACGAAAGGAATACGCTCAGCTACCATTTTCACATTTCAGAATCAGCAGCCTATCTCAGGTAGATGCTGTAGAAAGTTACATCGAGCTGCATCTCCGTCACGGCATTCTCGAGGTAGTTCCAGGCTTCAGTCATATGTTTATTAGTTAGACGTCCTTAGCGCTGAAGCTTGTCGTGCTACTAACACCAGTCCCGGGCATTCCAACCGTCGGCCATGGCGTCTGCCGTCGCGCTTCAAGGTAGCACGTTGACCTCGAGTGGCCTGCTCGCCGCGCCTCGGCTCAGTTCCAACAAGCCGCGCTGCGCCTCTCTCGCCTCAACCCTAGTACCGCTGCCACGCAAGCTTACCTCTTCTAGGACCACACCCGCGCAGCCTTTTTCCCGTCAAAGGTGCAGCGTCGCTGTAAATGCTCAAGCACCCCCGTCTTCCACTCCTCAAGACGAGTCAGTCCCGGCTTCGCGGCAACTTCCATGCCTTCCGTCGTCGTTAACTGAAGCCACAACTTCTCTCCTCGACGTTCTTAAAGCCGCAGTTAAGCCTGCGCTCGCCGCGCTCCTAATCTCCGCCGTCCTCGCCGCCGGCGCCCCGGACGCCGCGCTCGCCGCGCAAGGCGGCGGCAGAATCGGAGGAAGCGGCTTCGGCGCCTCCCGCATGCGCTCCTACGCTCCGCCGCCCTCCGCCCCCCGCGGCGGATACTCCTACTCCGCTCCCCCGGTGATCGTCGGCCCGTCCGTCCCGTTCTTCGCGCCGTCCCCGTTCTTCTTCTTCGGCCCGTCCGTCGCCTTCGGCGGCGGCGGCGGGCTCTTTAATCTCCTGGTGATCGGGATCGTCATCTGGTTCGTGTCGCAGTCCGTCATGGGGTTCCTGAGCTCGGCTCAGGAGGAGGGAGTGTGGCAGGAGACGCAGCGGAGCAGCGTGGTGAGGCTGCAGGTCGGCCTGCTAGGCTCGGCACGGCGCCTGCAGCGGGATCTGGATCGGATCGCGGATCGCGCGGATGCGAGCTCGCCCGAGGGGCTTCACTACATCCTGCAAGGTACATTACTGTATTCCGTTAGTTAAGTTTTTTTTTTTTTTTGAAAGACTCCCAGACGGTTGGCGGGAGAGACGGATAGACGGCTAGACGCTTTCACCGTAGATGCGAGCTCACCGGAGGGCCTACATTACATCCTGCAAAGTACAATTTCTATTTATCTTGATGTGTTTTGAGTCGACTCAAAACACACCTGAGCTCACCGGAGGGCCTACATTACATCCTGCAAAGTACTTTGCTCATGTTTTCACCGTATCTATTTATCCGGAACGCCTCGTTTTATTCATGTTTTGCTGTTTCTCTTTCCCTCCCCTCACTCGCTTTTTTCTCTCCTCCTCATTCCCTTCTTTCGTCTCCTCCACTTGTGTTCTGCATGCCACCTGTCGGATTCGCCCGTACAACAGAGACGGTGCTGGCGCTGCTGCGCAATCCAGACTACTGCATTTACGGCTTCTCCTCCGTAAGTGCTGGGAATCACGTGCGACCTGAGTTAGGTGCTTTGGTAGTGAGTGCTTTATCGTAGGACCTGGTATGTAGCAACCCGGACTGTTATATCTACGGTCTCTCCTCTTTAAATAATGGGGAACTTAGTGGAAGCCACGTGTGATCCGAGAAATGTGTGGGGAGCGAAAAGAAGGCAGCCCATTCGTTTCCATCCATGTGCTGTTCTCGAGTGTTACCTGCTCCTTACTTCAACAAGTTTTTGTTTGAAGTAGTGTTTTGATACGTCTCAAAACACTAGTTCAAACACTTTGTTCCCATCCACGTGCCGTTCTTGAGTATTACATGCTGCTTCCTTCCTCAACAAGTTCTTTCTCCATCTCTGCTTTTGAGTCGACTCAAAAGCTTTCTCCATCTCCCTCTCCTTCTGCTGACAACAACCCTCCTCCCCTTACGTCCATGAGCGTTCAGCCACTCCTAGAAGAAGGGGAAGGGGAAGGGATGTTGAAGAACAAATTGAGGAGGGAATTTCTTGTTGCCGTCCACTTTCCCCTTATCCTATCTCCCAATTGTACAGTCAGAGGTGAACATGACTCGTATGGTGGAGAGGCAGCGTTCGACCGGATGAGCATGGAAGAGCGGAGCAAGTTCAAGAAGGGACACTTGCTTCATTTGTCCTCAATTGCATCCCGTATTCCCTTCCCCCGCCTCCCAACCATACAGTCAGAGGTGAACAACGACTCATACGCGGGAGAGGCAGCGTTCCACAGGATGAGCATGGAGGAGCGGAGCAAGTTCAAGGAGGAGACTCTTGTTTCCCTCACCCTCCCTCTCCCCTTCCGTTTCCTTTCCACCATTCCCAACCGTTCAGGCAGAGGTGAACAATTACTGCTGCGCTGGCGAAGCCGCATTCAACAGGATGAGCATGGAGGAGCAGAGCAAGTTCAAGGAGGAGACTCTTGCTTTCCTCACCTCTTAGCTTCCCCCACCCACCCTCTCTCTCCCCCTCCCCCATCTCCTCCCATACCAACAGTCCGAGGTCAACAACGCGAAGCTGTATTCAACAGGATGAGCATGGAGGAGCAGAGCAAGTTCAAGGAGGAGACTCTTGTTTCCCTCACCCTCCCTCTCCCCTTCTCTCATGTCCCCTCTCCCCTTCCTCCACCCCTCCTCATGCGTTCAGTCAGAGGTGAATAGCGACTCGTACGCGGGAGAGGCAGCGTTTAACCGCATGAGCATGGAGGAGCGGAGCAAGTTCAAAGAGGAGACTCTGGTGAATGTGGACGGTATCAGGCGACGAATCACGCGCAATCCCTCCAACGACCGCATGAATTCCGAGTACATTGTGGTATGTCTAGTTTGAGGGAGTGCACATTGTGGTTGTGGTCTGTTGGCTGTACACAGCGCTTCCTCCTTCAAAGGTCAAGGAGGAGACTCTGGTCAACGTGGATGGTATCAGGCGGCGAATCGCGCGCAAGCCCAGCCAGGATTGCATGAACTCGGAATACATTGTGGTATGCTGAGTGCTGTGGTCGGTTGAGTGTACATTTTGGTATGTGGAGTGTGCTGTGCACTGTGGTATGTAGAGTTGTGCGAGCCGACTTTTTAGTCGACTAAAAAATGCTGAGTGTTGTGGTCGGTTGAGTGTACATTTGCTACGTGGAGTGTACACTATGGTATGTAGAGTTGTGCGAGCCCAGCCAGGACCGCATGAACTCCGAAAATATCGTGGTATGTGGCATGTGCCATGTGTTGGTGATTTTTATTTTTATTTCGAGTACATTGTGGTATGTTGAGTTGAGTGTACATTATGACACATGGGTTGTACATTGTCGCAAGTGGAGTGGAGTGTACATGTGGTAAAGCAGCATATGGCTGGCACTCTCCCCTCTGATGATTTGTTCTTCGCATCACATGACGCTTTGGGCAGCATGTCCAATTGCACCCCTCCTTACTTTATATCCTGATACACATTGCAGGTGGCAGTGCTGGCAGCCGCAGAGGGCACGTCTAGTCCTTGTTGTTTGCCCTCTGTGAATGGTTTGACCAATTCTGACTTCTGCTATCCATTCCCATTCTTCCTCAACTCAGCTCACGGGTGCGAAACGTGCAGGTGACGGTGCTGGCAGCAACCGAGGGCACGTCTAGTCCTTGTGCTTTGTTCACGACCAATTCTGACTTCTGCTATCCATTCCCATTCTTCCTCGTCTCGCCTGCGTGCAAAATTGCAGGTGACGGTGTTGGCAGCAACAGAGGGCACGCTTCGCCTGCCGGAGATCAAATCTGCGAGTGACCTGAGGGAAGCCCTGACTCGCCTCGGCTCCATTCCTGCTGATGAGCTTCAGGTGAGCTTTCATGAGCTTCAGGTGAGTTTCCATGTGCTTCAGGTTGAGTTTCCATGTGCTTCAAGTGAGTTTCCATGTGCTTCAGGTGAGTTTTCATGAGCTTCATGTGAGAGTCAACAGCTCCAGGTGAGTTTGGATGAGCTTCAGGTGCGTCAATCAGTCCATGGCAGCATAGCATGCTCCATAGTCCCACAAAGCATAGCATGGCACCTTGATCACACTTTCACGCTGGTGCCAAGGTCCTGCTCATGGCAGCATAGCATGCTCCATAGTCTCACAGAGCACCTTGATGACACTTTCACCGCACATGACCTTATTCTATCTCCTCCCTCCCTCTCCCTCACACACTTGGCCTGCTATGAACTGCCCCACGTCCCTCTCTCTGTTCCATTTTCCTACTTCCAAAACCCCTCACCCCCTTCTCCCCCACCCCCCTTCCTCCTCCCTTCCTCCCCTCTCCCCTTACAGGCGATGGAGGTGCTGTGGACGCCCCAAGACGATGAGGATACCCTCACAGAGTGCGACATGCTGTTGACTACCCTCCTTCCCACCCCTGTTCCCTCCTCCCTTCCTCCCTTCTCCCCTGATAGGCGGTGGAGGTGCTCTGCTCTGGACGCGTCAGGACGACGAGGATACTCTAACAGAGCGAGACATGTTGGTTGACTACCCTCCTTCCCCTCCCTCACCCCCTCAATATCTCTTCCTCCTCTCTCCCCTTGCAGGCGGTGGAGGTTCTCTGGACGCCCAAAGACGATGAGGATACCCTCACTGAGCGCGACATGCTGCTTGACTACCCTCAGTTCCCCCTCCCACTTCCTCAATTTCACTTGTCCCTCTCCCACACGTCCAGGCGGTGGAGGTGCTCTGGACGCCCCAAGACGATGAGGATACCCTCACAGAGCGCGACCTGCTGCTTGACTACCCTCGCCTGCGGCCGCTGTGAATGCATGTTGTCACACCTGCGTGGAAGAGTTGATTTCTAGTTGACACCGCCAGCTGTTGCCCTGGTGACTTTTGAGTCGACTCAAAAGTCACCTCTTTTGAGTCGACTCAAACGCCAGCTGTTGCCCTGCCTGGCGACTGTTTGTTGTGATGAGGCGGCAAAAATGAGCACAAAGCACCTAGTGTGTGTGAAAGGGGAGTAGAATGAGTGGAGTGGAATCACAAGGGCTTGTGCCCTGCCTGTACCTGTTGTGACTCAGTGATCAGTGAGTGGTGAATTCTGGAAAAGGAAAGAATGCAACTGGTCGTATGGGTGAGCCATGATTGCAGAATGCAGATTGTGTTGTGTTTGTAGTGTTGTAAAGGCTAGTTATGCAACAAGCTATTTACTTGTTTGTACCGGTATTGGTTCATGAATCATGATGCCACTCATTACAGCGAAGGGGGACAGACCGGGTTTCATGAGAATGAACTTAGCAATATGCATGTATGCATCACAGAGCAATGCCAATTGTGGCCAAGTGCAAAGAAGTACCAATGGTAAGCACTGCTGGTTGGCAAAATCCTATGCAATGCAAGCCTACTGTAGCTGCGTTCTAAAAGGAATTGTGGGTGGAAGTCTCTTGCCATAGTAAAAGGCATGTACTACCAGCACAGTACTGGCTGAAACCAACATTGTAAAACAAATAAACATTAAGAAAATATTCAGATATTGTACACAGATACAGCTATGCGGTGTCTCTCATCTAATCTATCCCATTATTATCTCGATACACCAGCCCTTATGGCCTCCAAGGAGGCCTTATTGCCGCTACCCAAGTCATTCTTGAAGGATCCACCCCTCCCTTCAACCCTCACACCCCCAACTGCTTTTGAGTTGAATCAAAGCCAGCCCCTATGGCCTCCAAGGAGGCCTTATTGGCAATACCCTAGTCATTCTTGAAGGATCCACCCTCCCTCCAACCCTCACATCCCCAGCTTGCTGCTGCTTCTTCTTGCTCTGTGATGCTGCCAACCCAACTTGCTCCTGCTGCTTCTTGCTCGGTGATTCTGCCGAACCAACTTGCTGCTGCTTCTTCTTGCTCTGTGATGCTGCCGAACCAACTTGCTGCTGCTTCTTCTTGCTCTGTGATGCTGCCGAACCAACTTGCTGCTGCTTCTTCTTGCTCTGTGATGCTGCCGAACCAACTTGCTGCTGCTTCTTCTTGCTCTGTGATGCTGCCGAACCAACTTGCTGCTGCTTCATCTTTCTCTGTGATGCTGCCGAACCAACTTGCTGCTGCTTCTCCTTGCCCTGTAATGCTGCCGACCCTCCCTTGATACGTCCACCAGGAGGAGAGTCCAAACGACCTGAAGGCGATTTCAGGTCGGGGGTGCTGCTGTCACTGAAGCCGCTGCTGCTGCTGTCACTGAAGCCGCTGCTGCTGCTGTCACTGAAGCCGCTGCTGCTGCTGTCACTGAAGCCGCTGCTGCTGCTGTCACAGAAGCCGCTGCTGCTGCTGTCACAGAAGCCGCTGCTGCTGCTGTCACTGAAGCCGCTGCTGCTGCTGTCACTGAAGCCGCTGCTGCTGCTGTCACTGAAGCCGCTGCTGCTGCTGTCACTGAAGCCGCTGCTGCTGCTGTCACTGAAGCCACTGTTGCTGCTGTCACTGAAGCCGCTGCTGCTGCTGTCACTGAAGCCGCTGCTGCTGCTGTCACTGAAGCCGCTGCTGCTGCTGTCACTGAAGACGCTGCTCATGCTAGACGTTTCAGAACCGAAGAAATTGACGTCACTGCTGCATGTGCTCCTCGGATCAGAATCGTTCTCAGAACAATCGCCCTCTGCAGCCATAAACAGTGAGAAAATCTCATCTGCAATCTCCTCTGCTTCAGCTCGTGGCACTTCCTGCTGCTCAGAAGAAATGACCCACGTGTCCTCCTCCTCAGCAGCCGGATAGCGAGCTGAGGAGGCCATATAAGGATCATATTGCGACTGCAGCATTGCATGACGCGCAGCCTGCAGCAACGCGTCCCGTTGTTTCCAGAGGCTCATAAGTTCTGCAAAGGTAGGATATTCAGCAGACTCAGGAGCAAAACGCTTCGCCTGGATCAGAATACCACGCTTCTCCCAGAGGGCCACAGCCGCAGAGAACGTAGGATAGTCGTAACAATCCATCAGGCAACTGAAGTGAGACTAGGAAGAAGAGAAGATAATCTAAACGTTTACTGCGCAGAGCTTCCGCGGGAGCAATATATCGAGCTGAATGAAAAGGCGAGAGCTCTGAACTTGCTTAGAAAACAGCTCAGTCAAGCGAACGAACAGGATAGGTCTCTGAAAAATACGAATGCTTAACTATGGATTTGTAGGGCCAGGTGAGGATACACGAAGCGGCCGCGATAGGGATGGAGCTTGTATGGAGGAACACCCAGAGGAGGGAGAAACGGAAAAAAAGAGGAAAACTCTCAGCTGCTGCCCGAGCAGCTCCGGAAAATCGGAACTGTGCGCTGGCATGCTGCCCAGCCCGAAATTTACTGAAACCGCAAAAACGGGAACAGAAATCAGCTGGTGAACCGAGTCTCACCGAAGGGTCTTCACTGGTAACCGATTCTATTGCTACCCCCGATTCGATCGTGTTTCCTGCCCCCGACAAAAGGTTTTCCGCTGCGCGCTAGCAGAGCCCCTTCCCTGCAAAGTCGACGGCATGAAATAATAGATTTCGTCTGCCCGACCGCAGACGGAGCGCTGGCGAACCTCTGGGGTACCCCCATACCCGAAAATGCCTGAGGGTGAGCCGCTGTGCCTCCCGCAACTGAAGGAAGACAGGTTTGGTAGCGAGGCTTCGAGTCTGAGAAGGGTAGAGCGATAGAATCGAGGTGTAAATGGTGAATCCATACTCGCTAGGGAGCTCCTCGGCCAAAACTGCACTTCTGCATTTTTATACGCAGTGCTATTTCATGTTAGGCAGATTGTGTTCAGCACAATGGTACGAAATTATTATCCCAAAATTGCAAACATTATAATTAAGATGCAAAAAATCTTTTACAAAACTGAAATTGGGTATTTTGTTTTCATTTAAAAAAACATAGGTAATCAGTGTTACCGGTAGAGGAGCAGGGCTTACGTTATCAGAAATTTTCTTTCTGAATTTCTGGATTCTGAACACGTTTTTACTGGTTCATCTGATGTCGCAGACATGTTTAATTTCATCTGATTTTTTAGAGACGCTTTTTCTTTTCATCTGATTTCTCAGACAGCCTTATACAGTTTGTCTGAGACTGCAGACATCGAGTATTTTCTCGATTGAAGGAAAAATGTATGCGGACCAAAAGGATGACCGCACCTGCCTGACAGAGGCGTCAAGATTCGAACCCAAATCAGAGACTTCATAAGTCCCGATTGTACCGCCTAGACCATTGGAGGCTGCACATTAACATTTCAAATAACATTGTAAATCTTAAAAACTATATATCTTCATCTAAAATTTCAGACAAGTACTTGGGATTCGTCAGAAAAGCTAGACAATGTTACATCTTTCGTCTGACAATCAGACAAAGAGCCAGGACCCGGTCTTAAAGCCAGACGGGTCATTTTACTAAAGTTGTAGAGGAGTATTAATAATGATGTGGACAGATTTCTTTCAGTTGCATTGGTGCTACCCGTTCACCCATTGGTCTAAAAAAACTCAACGTAAATTTGAGAGATGCTCAAAATCAATCATGTCAGATATATATGACTTAGTCTTTGTAGGCTCTAGTGAGGTAGATACTAAGGGGTACAGGTTTCTAGGGTTTCACATTTGTATCCAATACTTTCCTAGTTCAATCATTCCTCATTCTTCACATGGTATAGAGCGGGTTCCCTAGTGGGACCGTTTCTTCCTAGGGCCCACCTTCGGAAAACTTTTTTAGCCTGCCCGAAGCGCGCTTCGCGCCCTGCCCTTAAATTTCGCGGCCCCTTTGTGGCCTGCCCCTTAACGGCCCCTTCGCGGCCCCTTCGCGGCCCCTCGCGGCCCCTCTTAAGGCCCTTCGCGGCCCCCTTCGCGGCCCTTCGCGACCCCCTCACGGCCCTTCGCGGCCCCTTCGCGGCCCTTCGCGGCCCCCTCTTGGCCCTTCGCGGCCCCCTCTCGGCCCTTCGCGGCCCCTTCGCGGCCCCTCTGCGGCGCTTTTGCGCCCCCCCCCCCCCCCCACTTCGCGGCCCGCCGTAGCCGCCCTGCCGCCCCGTCGTCGCCGCCCCAGCAGCAGCTGCCGTCGCTTCCGCTGCCACCGCTACTATTCGCCACTACCGCTGCCGTGACAGCCGCCGCCACCACTGCTGCCGTGACACCCGCCGCCGCCGCTGCCGTGACAGGCGCCGCCGTCCCGGACCTGCCCTGCAGCCGAGCCGCGGCCCTGCCCTGCCACCCTGTCGCGGCCCTGATCCTGCCGGCGCACCTCGGCCCTGCCCCACCACTTGCGGCCTTCTACCCACCTGCTCCTGGTAAGCGCACGACCGAGCCGCGCTCCTACTGCTGCTGCTACTGCTAGCCCGCTACTGCTGCTGCTAGCCTGCTGCTGTTGCTGTCATGGCTAGTCCCAATGTTCTTACCTTCGATGATGAGGGTCGTGCGCTAGACTTTGAGGTCTGGATCGATGATCTGCAGCTTTTCCTGCAGTGCGATAGCAAAGATGGTCTCTCACTGTTCGATCTCACGTCTGGCGCCTCTCCTGCCCCTGCTGCCGATGCTGACAGTACTGTTCGCTCACAGTGGACCACACGCGATGCTGCTGCCCGTCTTGCTGTGCGTAGTCACCTGCCGTCCACTGAGCGCGCGCACTTTAGTCAGTACAAGAGTGCTAAGACCTTGTACGACGCTGTCGTTGCGCGCTACTCCTCCCCTGCCTCTGCTGCCCTTAGTCGCCTCATGCTGCCGTACCTTTTCCCTGACCTCGCCGCCTTTGCTACAGTCGCCGACCTAATTACGCACCTCCGCACTAGTGACACCCGCTACCGCGCTGCGCTTCCTGCTGAGTTCTGCGCCAAGA